GAGCGCACACAAACAAAACAACAAATCCTGATGTCTGGATTTTGCCTTAGCGCTCCAGAAAAGGCTTCGGGAAGTTAACTAGGCAAAGTAGGCTGCTTACATAATCCTCTGCCCAGGCCAAATTTCTTCTGGAAATAAACCTCAGCTGCTGACTTCTAAACACTCTGAAAAGCCCCAAACAAAAATCAACATTCCAGCAGTTTGACTTCCAAAATGGTTACATCCACTGAAAAGCAGTTAAAAAAAAAAAAAAAAAAAAACCCACAAAAAAAACCCCAAACAACAAAAACCCAAAACAAACAAAAAACTGTTTTCCTAGCACATTATTGCACTAAATAACTCCGTTTACATCCACCGGTGTGCCCATGCACCCAGATAGTTACCAACTCCTGCAGTGACCTCAGTAATTAAAAAAACCCAGCTCATACTAGTTGCTGGCAACATTTGACAACATGTACGTAACAGAAATCTTCCTAGTGCCATATTCAAGAAAAATCTTTCCCATCTTCAAAAAACAAACAAAAACATAATCCAAAAAAATGCATGCGTTAGTAATTTTCTTTAATATCAATAATAATTTCATGCATCTAACAATAAAATAGTTAAGTATAAACAAACACATTTTGATGTCCAAATATGTGTTTACTTCATCCACTGTAACATCCATTTTTATTCATTAATGACAAATAATTTTTATTCACACTAATATTTCTCAGTGGTTGCTCTCCATACAGATACTTGCCAGACTACTTTTCTTGTTGGGAAATAATCTAATCGCCCACTCAAAGCGCAGGAAGGGGGACAGATGGACATGGGTGACTAATGAAGTATTATCTGACTATTTTTAGATTAAACTATTTACAAAGCATCTGTAAACTGTGTTCAAAAACTTCTACTATGAGTAAAGAATAACTATGGTTTGCAGGGCTCATGATCAACACAAAGATTTGTGTTGATCCAGCAGGAAATGGCTTATTATAAAGCCAATTTTGAACCCAGCCAAAAAAAGAGCTGCAGTAGTCAGGCTTATTTTATTCTTAGAAGATCCCACCGCACCACCAAGGCGGGCAGAACCAAGGCGGGCAGAAATGTAACCTTCGCAGGGCAAGCAAGAGGCTGCAGAGGATGCTGATGCTGGGAATTGAAAGAATTTGCAAACATGCTCTTGTTCCCTTGCTTAGTTGTACTGGTGCCGCAGGAATTATGTAAATAGGCGAAGTAAAACTGCACTCCTCAAGTAGCACGGTTTCCTATGCAGAGATACTCAGAAAGTTTGTTTTTTCCACAGCCAGAGCTGCAGACCAGCAGAGAAGAGAAAGCTTTATCACCTCGCTCGGGAGATCCCATAAACAAACATTACTTGCTTATAATGAGAGTTTTCCTTAAAAACAGAACAACACACCAACCAACCAATATTTGCACTCTTCTTCTGAGAGCAGACTGCCTCATTATAAAAGCTGTGTGCAGAGAAAGGCAGAGGAGGGCTCTGCTGCCCTGTTCCGAGTGTGACGCTTGGTTTGGGTTATTTCGTTTGGGAAGGAACATGGCAAACATAAATAAAAGGATGATTGCACAAACATAAACCATTTTCTTCAATGAAAAAAGGCTTTCTTCAGTATACACTGCCCAAACTGTCTCCTTCCAACACCCCTTTGCCCTTGTGCAGTCTTCTGAGTGCTGTACTTATCGTCGAAGCCAGAGAGGGAAACCTTTCTGTCTGATCCGTGGAAGAAGCTTCTTGTCCTTCGCTTTCTATCTAAACAGGGCAGTGACACGGAAAGAAGCTGGAAGCAAAGACTCAAGAGAGCAGAGAAGGAGAAAAGAAAGCGTTCACTGACTCTGCTTCATTCCTCACTCATGCTAATTGGTTGTAGGCTCCAGTTTTAAATAAAAGCGCTTGAAGCGACACGTAAACATTTAGAAAACTCTGCAATGTCCTTCTTCAGAATCAAGTATTGAGTACAAACGCCTCATCAGCAGCTTTTTTCTTTGCAAATTTATCCTACTGGATTTTGCCATTTTGACATGTGACAGCTATAATTTATTGATTTTAGACTATCTCTCGCCTTTATATACCGACCTGTTACAGTCATTTAAAACAGGTGACCAGGTGTAGTAACAGCTACACTATGTGACACTTAAAAATAATCCACCAGATGCCCTGGAAGTTGATAAAGAACACCTGGGGAACACACAGTAGCTTGTGAATTTGGATCCTTCATTTTGGAGGGGCTGGAGGGTTGACCACTGACTGATGACTAATGCCTTCAGCACTGACTGAATACTGCTCCCCTGACTTAAAAAGAACTAAGATTTTGCTGCGTGTGTACCGACCTGCTCCCAGCCAGTGCTCACCAGCTTTGCCCACACTGGCTTTTTCTGCACAAGAATGACAGACCTCATGCCTGTGTCCCCCCATGACACCGCCCCCAAACGCTCGGTACAACGCCCAACATCATCTGCTTGGAAAGAGCATCCCGCCGCGGTGCAGAGACCGGCAGCAACGCCTGAAGCCACAAACTCTTGAGACGTGGCTTGCACGCAGAGGTGGCAAAACGTCCAGGCAAACAGGTTGCATGAGACAGCCAGTTCCGATCCGCAGGGTCAAAACTAACACATCAAACCAGCTACCAAAAAAACAAATACCAATCCATGCTGCTAGCACAGATTGGGCTGCTGTTACCGACCGAGTAGTAATTGTGTGGTACAAAGACGAAACCACAGATAAAAACAACCGTGGCACTGCACAGTGACAAATCTGGTTATGAACACATAGCACAGATGTAAACTAACATTATTCCTCACCTGTTTCCAAACATCATCAATTCAAACCAAGGATTTCTCTAGAAGCTTTTTACAAAAATGTTTAACCATTTTCTTCTAGAAACGCCATCATTTATGCTATTTTCTCCTACCCATCCATTACACAAGGAATTACACTGGGTTCGTGCTGCGGCTAAAACAATGTTTTCTGCGTGAGCTTTGAATCACTTCTGTTCCTCATGTGAACTTGTGCGCTCATGTTTTTCTTCTAATCCTCTTAGGATCACACTATTTACACTACTTTCTGAGATTCTGGCGCTATTTGAGCTTTAACAACAAATTCAGTCATTAGATGTTGTGCTTTGTGAATTACAAAAGCCTTCTAAGGACACAGTATCTTTTCTTCTAAATTCTCCTCGAGTATCCTGCTTTTATCTGGATTCAGTATCTGGAAAGAGTATCCCAATCAAAAGAGAATTAAAAATAACTAAATCCTGGATATTCCCCTCAGTAACTAGGCTGCAAAAAGCATCAGACAATAGTTTTAAAAGCCTAAATTGAAAACTAATCACTCCATTGAATCCTTCCTTTCATTTGGTTAATAGGCATATACAAAACTAGCGGTGATTCTACCACTGCCATGCTTGGAACATAAACAGAGAAAATCAAAGTTATTTCTTTTAATCACAGTTCCACAGCGATGTATGGCAATTTTTTTAAACAATTCAGCACTTCTACAGTAACATCTCCTTTTCAGATCTAAGAGAAGCTGAACTGAGATAAATATCAACTCAAAAAATTAAAGAGAAACAAATACATATGAGTGGGGGGAAAAAAATCAGGACCACACACAAGACAGCAGTAAAAACTGTCATTACCTGCAACTAGTTGGTAGCAATAGGGTTCTTAGTGACAAAATACCAAGCACAAACTGCACCAACACCCCACTCGAGGAGCACAGCAGCCGCACAGCACTGGAGCATGCTCAGATGGAGGGGGATCACCGAGGGCGTTCGACAAGAAGCCTCAACAGGGAACACTCAAAGTATCCAAGACCTGCCCAGAGACATACCCACCTATATTCCTAAACTCTACCTGAAATGGCTTTTCTCTGTCAACTGAGAAATCTTTATTTCCTGATCTTTGTTCTATCTTTAGGCCTTTATTACATCAGAAATATGGAAAAACCTGACGCAAGCTAACTTTCTGGATGTTTTAAAGAAGAAATGTTTAACATAGATATTCATATCACACAAAAGTTGCACAACTTTCCACACTTCAGAAATACTCTTTCATATACCAAGCACCTGTATGCCTATGGACGTATGTGAACCAACTATTAAAACAAAACAGGATTTATGAGGGGATAAGGAAAAAGAACTGGGTAAGCAGACAACACTATTCTGGGGAAAAGATCATCCAGATACAGAAACCACTCTTCAAAAGTGCACAGAATCAGGATTCACTGTGCAATGAGAAAAATAGGGAAAGTCAGACCAGAGCAAAAGAATATTGTAGCAGCTATATACAAGTTTAAACACCAATTTCAATAAAAGTCAAAAATTGAGGCAATCACAGAAAATAGCTTATAGCCCACTGAAAGGAAAGGAAGCTAAATTGCTGGAGAGGAAACCATCTTAGCCAGCTCTATTAAAAACACATAACGCACAGGAGTAATCTTGTCAATACCAATCAGTTGGTACCACTGGGGAAGGAGGGAGGGCGAGCCGTGCTGCAGCACGATTTCACTTGCAAGGCATTTAAATGAAATTCATTAGTAAGCAGCCCAATTCACATAAACTGAAAGTTAAAAGATCCTAGAAAAATTGAAACCATCTTAGCCAGCTCTATTAAAAACACATAACGCACAGGAGTAATCTTGTCAA